CACAATGGATGCTCCGTTAACTATAGAAGAAATGAAGAGGGCAAGAGCAAGAGCAGGAATAACATCTCCTGGGAAGGATGAAATCTGCTACATAATGTTAAAACATTTGGGAGTTTTGGCATCTATAAAACGGTTAGGCTTTTATAATGAAGTTTGGGAAAAAGGAAAGTTACCTACTGGATGGAAAGAGTCCTGTTAGGAAGCCAGGAAAGGACCCAGCAAATCCAAAGAACTATCGGCCAATAGCATTGACCTCACATATAGGAAAGATAATGGAAAGAATGATTACAGAGAGAATAGCATTTTATTTGGAAAGTAGAGGAATTCTATCACCTCATCAGAGTGGTATCAGGAGACTATGGACCCCATTATATGTTTGGAAACAGATGTTAAGAAAGCTCAGGTTAATAATGATTCAGTGATGGCAGTTTTCTTTGATGTCGAAAAAGCATATGACATTGTTTGGAAAAAGCAAAAGCAGTAATTAAAGCATATACCACTAAGGAGTGGCAACATAAATGGGATACAGGAAATACAGGACGTCAACTTTATGAAATACAGCGAGAAGTAGGAGTCGTGAGAATAACTAAAAGAAGCACCAAAGAGGAAAATATTCTAACAAGATTAAGGGTTGGGCATACTATGCTGAATAAAACCTTAAAAATAATAAATAAACATCCAACAGGATTATGTGAGCACTGTGGAATGGAGGAATCAGTAGAACATGTTATTTGTGTTTGTCAAAAGTATACTAATGAACGAGAAACACTGAAGAATGAACTTAGAAAGATGGGAGTGGATAACCTAAAGCTTAAAAATATATTTACTTATGGACTAGAAAGCTTATTTTTGTATCTTAAGAGAACAGAGCTGATTAAGAGAATTTAGAGGGAAAATTCTTATTGAGGTAAAGAATGTTTTTTATTTTTATTTATTTATGTTTTTGGCTTTTCTTTTTTTTTGTCCTCTTATTATGAAAGGGTAAACTCTGGTTCACACTCCAATACAGTAGGTGGCGATAATGCACCTTAACATTGGTGCTACCCGCCATAAAACCGAAGAAGAAGACTTTTATTTTGGTGTAGCAATGTGATGTCATAAGCCTGCGCCACGCTTTTGCATCTGTGATTCTGCTGAAGAAAGGTTTGTTTTTTAATCTTTTAAAGAGTTTAAATCAATACAACCCATTATAGAGAACTTTGAAATGAATGAAATGTTTTAGTGTAATGTTATAATATATCTAATAACATTAAAGAACAGTTGTTTATGAGTAAAGCATGAGTAACAAAAGACGAATCTCATTTCATCATAAACAAGTAATGCTAGAGAACAGAACTTTTTAAAAACCAGTTGAGATTCAATTGAATCAAATGCTTGTGAAAATGATTCACTGTTTGTAAGCGCTGGAATCACAGCTCGTTGACGACACCTGAGGCCCGTTGCACAAAGCTGGGTTTGGGTTTTAGCCAGGTAAGTGTGCGCTTAGTTTGAGCAGAGTTGGGTTGGTTTACTCACCAGTCAACTGAGTAAAGTGACATGAATCTGACGCATCACAGTTAACCCTTTAGAGTTTGTAGCGATGGCTTGAACATTTTTGGAAAACCCCATGGAGATCTGAGTGCAGATAATAAGAAGGGCACTTCGTTGGGAAAGAACATTTAGGGACCAGCATAATAACCTAGCTTTTTCAGATGAGCTTAGTATGAAAAGTATATATTTTTGGCAGATGGTCTAGTTTATCAATACCGGCTTCTCAAGCCACACATTAAAATGATGACACACTGAAGCCACGTGCTTAATGTACCGCAAATTTTATGTATTGTTTTGCAGTTTTTTTGCATGCAGTGGGTGATGCTGAAAACATAAGCAAGCGTACTGCCTGCAGAGCAATATGGAAAGTCCGATTAATTTTGGCCAGTTTAGGACAGTTCGGCTCATTGAACCGGTTCAAAGACCCGATTCATTCGTTCACGCAATAATATCTCTACCCTGTTGATACCCTGGTTAGGTATGTTTTGAAGCATGGCAGTGTGGTTTGAGATGGTTTAAGCTGTTCCTGAGTTGGTTACAAGCTGGTCATGAGTAGGAGCTAGTTGCTTAAACCAGTCGAATATTATACATTCTATTTCAAAACAGATTCAATATTTCGGAAATGAACTCTGGAAGGCGCATTATTTAATTTTTTGAGGAAAAAGGATGGGAGAAGAAATGAGAAGAAAGTAATGGATAAAGGCTGCTATCTATATTTATTGGTTTATATACATTTTGGCTTAAAAACTAAATATGTATTCAGAATTTTACATCAAATCAGCAGGGAATACACACTGAAGTCCATGTAAACCTGGAATAATTAATGAATGAGTTAACAGTGTTGGGGAAGCTACTCTGAAACTGTAGCTTGATCAGCTACAAGCTACTCGTAAATTAAAGTAGTTAAGTTACAGTCAAGCTACCCTTCTGAAAAAGTAGCTAGCTACATTGAAACTACTTTCTTACACATACTGTAATGCAATCATGATTTCAAAGAGTAGAGTGAATTCAGGTTGATTGGGACACTTTTCCAAGCCATTTCAATGACAAAAAGTGTCCCAATCATTTGATTTTGTAAACTATCTGATACACACAATAAATAGGCTACTGTATAGTTATATAGTTATATTATCTTAAACTGACTGTCAAAGTGCAGAATTGCTACTAACATAACATCAATGCAAGAAGAAAACGTATGCAATTTAAACTGGATACGGAGGAGTCGTAAAATAAGCAGGTTAAACTCGCAGCTCGTGCGGTATTTACTGACTGTGAATGGAGACGTCAATCATCAGCTGCGCTTTGCGTGAATCCCGCAACAACCATTCTTTGCCAAATGATAAGCACACTACTATATCGCAATTTTATTTTCTGTTCGATTAGGGTTCATTACAAAACTGTGGGGCACAGATTATATTATGACCGTTTATCATTGTAAAATAGATATCTGATCTAGAGTGCAATAAAGAAAAAAAAATTATCAGTTTAAAAAGGCTATTATTCACCTCCTGTATGTGCTTTATGTCTTCGACGTAGACCGCATTTTAATCTTTGTTTTGCGTAAATTACAGTCATTACAATCATGTGAAATATCCACACCTGTACATCCTTTGCAATATCATCAGACGATCTCTTGTCGGTGGAAAGACTGTAAAGCCGCGCGATGCGTGAGATCACAACAGATGGCGGTAATGAACCAATTTAGTTTGTGATCTCGTCAGAAGAAGACGCTGGCTCGTGACTCGTCAGAACAGAATGTAGCGTTTGGTCACGCTACATCGCTACTTGCTGGAAGAAGTAGTTAGCTACAGGAAAAGCTACACTGTTTTAAAAGTAGCGTCGCTACTTGTAGCTAGCTACTCCCCAACACTGTGAATAAATACATGTTTTAACTTATAGGCGTCACGGAATGGTTGCCAATAAGAGCTCACGAAGACAAATTAACAAAGAGGACAATCTTTTAATCCAAAATACTCAATACTGAGAAACAGGTAGCACTCTCACACAATGTTAGACAGGACACTGACCTCAGGAAACATGGGACTAAATACTAAACCAAATGAGGCTAATTAATGAACAACAGGTGAACTGAATACAAAAATCACACAAGCACTGGGAACCTAGGTCAAGCAAGGCGCTAAAAACAAAAATCAAACAATAAATAGATGGAACATACATTTTACAATATGCTACAAAGGAATGATTTAATAAATAGTGATCAACAAATTTTTAATTCATGGACACTATATTTTTCTGTATGTTACATGCAGGACTCTGTGTTTATTGTACTAGAATAGAACAGAGAACGAATATGTGTGACCTGTTGAAATACATCAGTGAATTGGCCTATTAAATGTAATTTGCAATGTAGTATATTTCAAATACTTTGGATACAGTATATAATTCAGCGTAATTCACCTTTTCTATCAGTGTGTGTGTGTCTGAAATAATCTAAATACTGTAAGCACATTTAATGCACTGCCTTCGCTGTAATATTTCACTGTAACAGAACATGTAACCATGGTTCCCTGAGAATAGGGAACTCCACGCTGGATTCAGCACTTCAGTATCTGCTTGAGTTCTATGGCAGCTCTGTAATTTGTTGATTGTCTGGTCAGTTCTGGGCCAATGAGGGACAGAAGTTCATCCTTCTGCTCTACACTGATGATGCCGTTGGCTGTCCAGCCTCAGTTCAGCCACAAGATGATGAAAATGAACTTGTTGTCTCCTTCGTTGGTTGAGCGGATGCACCCAATACCATCTGCTTCTCCCTCTGCCCCTCTGTAGACTTTTCAGTAGGAGAACAAATGCCAGTGTTCTCCTCCTGCTCACAGGAACTGAATTTGGAATATAGATACAAGATAATTAAGGGTGTTTTTTTTAATGACTAAAACACAGCTAAACATATTTTATCCTTGTGGTTCATAACTGGACTTTGAAGTGTATTAACTGTAATCTACAGCACAACAAAGTAGGGCATTGCAATAAACACAACAATAAACACAATTAAACATAACATAAAACATTACCATTTAGCCAACTTACCCATGGTAGAACCCCAAAAATCAAGAAAAACCACGTCGGACAGGCAAATCATGTGGTCTCGCAAATTCAGATGCTTCGCTTCTGAAACGCTTCTGGTGTGAGTTGGCGCCATGTGGAGGATGGAACTAAACCTTGTTGGAGCCGTAATGCGTCGCAGACGTGTGAGGTGTTAATGAGGGACTATAAGGGCTTTGATAACTTTCAGCTTGAGAGTATTTTGGACATGACCTAAAGAAGCAAAGAGTTAAGAATATTGAAGAGGTTCTGAGATTACAGGTTATTTCAGTTGTTTGTTGTGTATAGGATCTAGCATACTTGTTGGAATTGATGTCTGTTGATGTCATGTCTGTTGTTTTTGTCATTAAACTGGTGTTTCTGTTCACCCTAGACCTGATGGCGCTGAAAGAAGAGATAGTCACGAGCTGAATAAAATGGAAGAGAAAGATCAGTATGAGAAATGTCATGATTTCATGGTTGGGGTGAAATCTTTTAGTTACTCAAAGACTCATAAAACAGAAACTAGAAACTTTGAAGTCCAGATGAAAGTTAACACTGGAGAGAGCCCTTTCACCTGCCAACACTGTGGGAAGGGTTTCTCACTAAAAGGAAATCTTAAAATTCACATGAGAGTTCACACTGGAGAGAGCCCTTTCACCTGCCAACACTGTGGGAAGGGTTTCTCACTAAAAGGAAATCTTAACATTCACATGAAAATCCATGCTGGAGAGAAGGCTTTCATATGCTCTCAGTGTGGAAAGAGATTTACACAGAAAAATACCCTTAATGCCCACATGAGAGTTCACACTGGAGAGAAGCCTTACACCTGCAAAATGTGTGGGAATAACTTCACGCGAAAAGAAAATCTTGAAATTCACATGAGAGTTCACACTGGAGAGAGACCTTTCACCTGCAAACTGTGTGGGAAAAGCTTCACACGAAAAGAAAATCTTAAAATTCACATGAGAGTTCACACTGGAGAGAAGCCTTACACCTGCAAACTGTGTGGAAAGTGTTTTAAACAGAAAAAGTATCTCAATGGCCACATGACAATTCACACCGGAGAGAAGCCGTTTGTTTGTGATCAGTGTGAAAAGAGTTTCAGGTGTAAAGCGCACCTTGATCTTCACATGAGGAGTCACTCAGGAGAGAACTGTTTTATATGTCACCAGTGTGGAAAGAGTTTCTCACACAAAGGAAACTTTGAGAATCACATGAGAGTTCACACTGGAGAGAAGCCTTTCACCTGCCGTAATTGTGGAAAGAGCTTCACAATTAAAGGAAACCTTAAGATTCACATCAGAGTTCACACTGGAGAGAAACCTTACAAATGTGTTCAGTGTGAAAAGAGTTTCACATATCACACAGACCTAAAACGGCATTTGCAAGCTCACTCTGGAAAGAAAATCCAAACCTTGCCACACTGAGGAAAATTGCAATTTCAACAATCATCTGCGCATTCACTCTGAAGAAAGACAATTCAATTGTGATCACTCTAATTAAAACATCACATTAACACATTCATATGAAAAATCATGTAAATGTGCGAGCCTGATTGTGTTCTTTGTTAAAACCTATTTGGACAGGATTAGTTTTACATGGAGTGGTGGGATTAAAAGGAAAATTACCTCAGGTAATGCTATTCGCGTGCTAATAGACCAGCTGTAAATATTGTAGAAATGTTACATCATTCCTTGTTTAATTCTGTCACATGGTTTTGGGTTATGTTTCATGTTTATATTTTCATATCTTTTATTTTGTATTTCTCACTGTCATGCTTCCTATTTGTCATGTGCTTCCCTTGCTCCTCGTGTTATTCTGCCATATGCGCCCCTTGTGATTGGGTCATATCCTGATTGGTTGTTCTAGTCATGTGTTTTTTGTTCTAACTGGTTCTTTGACTGATTGTTCACAGGAGTTCCTTGTTTGTCATTAGTCTGTTAGTATAAATAGCCCTCATGTTCCTATTGTCTCTTGTTTAGCTTCGTTGCCTGTAACACTGTTGGTGAGTTCTGTGTTTGTGTCCATGTTTAGTTCATGTTTACCAAGCCAAGTGTTTTAGTTTGTATTTAATTGACGTTACTGCAAATAATACTACACAAGTTCACACTGCAACATGTCTCCAGTTGACATTTGTTACAGAAAGCTAGACCGTTAAAATGAACCCAGCAGTGCAGCTCTTGCAGCTCTCTCCGAGAGATTGATCCCTGGAGAGTTATGTGGAGGAGCTTTGCAGAATTTGCTGTCAGGTGGACCCTCAAGGTCCACTTTTTTGCAATGGACTTACTGATCACTGGAATTATCTAATGACCGAGACCACTGTTCCATGGACTCTGGCCCAAAGACTTACTAAGCAGTTCCTCACTTACTGTGGGAAATGCAGATGAGGTACCGCAATCCTACAGTATCCACCATGCCAGAGCCTATTAACGTCATGTCTGCCAAGCAAGAGCCTGTTCACGTCATGCCCGCCAAATTGTCATGCCAATTGTCATGGCTGCCACACCAGAGACTCCCTAGGAAATTATGATGGGGGTATCATGCTCCCAGCCACGGAGGCCAGTCCCAAGCCGACCGTGGCCCACGTGCCAGCAATGGCAAGTCTAGTGGTCTCAGCACTTCTTGTCTTGGGAGTCCCAGATGTCCTACCACCTTCTTCTGCACACTCTGTGATGGGGGTTGCCATCTTGTGTGTTTGGGCTGCACACACTTCATGTTCTTGCTCCACCATGGCCTTGTTCAGTGCTCAACACACTAGGCCCACCAGTGCTCAACTGCCCAAGTCCGCAACTGCACCACAACCCTCTGCTCCAAGGCCCAGGCCCTCCATTGCTCCATCGCCCAGTTTCTACGAATTCACACATTTTCTGTCAGACCTATCGGTCAACATCAATACAGTATTGATTCTCAGAGATTGTAATATTCACACATATAATACAAATGATGCAACTTCTTAGGGATCAAGCAAAGTCACCAGACCCACTCATCATTTTAGCCTTACACTAGAATTAATTACATTGCATGGTATCAATCTTACTGATAGATACTGTATTGCAAATTGATAATATCACTGATCAGGTCATGTGCATTCTGCTAATATTTGAAATGCAATTGTGATTGTACAATTATGATTCAGCCTAAATTATTGTCCCTCAAGAACAACTGCAGTGCTTTACAACTATAGGACAGGAAGAGCAATATTAGCTTATCATTGCATCTGAAACAACATGTTAATTAGATCTGATACCCACTAAATTACTGGAAGAGTTGTTACCTGTAGCAGAACCGGCTCTTTTCAATATTATCAACTCTATCTCTAGGTCATGTCCCAACACCATTCAACCAGGCAGTTATTAAGCCTCTCATTCAGAAACCACAAGTAGACTGTCATGTTTACATTTAGTTCTGCCTATTTTAGTTTTGTTTTCATGACTTTTATTTTGTATTTCTTAAGTTACCTCTTTCTTTTGTGCACCAGTTCCTGTCAGTCATTTGTTACCATGGATTAAGGAAAGATATGGAGATTGCCTCTGTTATCTTTGCCAAAATATGGGATTTTTACAGGCCCTAAGGAGCAGTGATTTTTACTTTTCCAAAAGGAAGAGAGCTAGAAGAGTACATGGAGTTAATCAGAATCACCTACCTCGCCACCTACGATGTCATCTCACTAATGGAGGGGTTCTGGATCGCATTGGAAGATGAGATTTGACCGATAATGCCCTGGGGAAATTCCTGCTGTACTGTGATCGATGACTAGAATTTCGCACTTTGGATAAATGGATTCTCTTTTACCATGGGTGATGTGGAAGAGGATTCCACAGCCAGCATCCAGCTCCACTCAACATCAATCACCATCCCAGAGCCAGACCCAGCACCTACTGTGGTTATAGATCCAGAGCCCACCGCAGACCAAGAGACCCAACTTCTTCCCACCATAAAGATCGAGCCTGAGCCAATGTCTGTTATTGAATCAGAGTCAGCAACCATATCCTTCCTGGAGGAGAAGCCTGAAGTCCTGGCTGACAAGTTGTGTGAGCCAGCCATAACAACTATGCCAGTGTGGATTTTAGCAGAGCTGGATGCAGAGGAATGGCTAGTAGACTGGGAAAAAGAAGTACCTTCATCATCGACCTCAAGTCCTGTCTGTCAGAGAATGTTCTTTTTGCCATCAGTCCTGTCCATCACAGAATGTGCTTTGTTGCCACCATCCATGTTCATCTATGAGTTGTCATCGTCACCGCCATCCTTGTTATGGAGCCTGCTTCCACACCTAGTGTTCTTCTCTTGAACACTCAGCCAAAGCCAGCTATTCCCTCGCCTCTGCCTCCGCTAGCTCCCTTCAGCCCCTCAGACCCACCATCAGCCCTGCCATGCAGCCCTGAGTTCCATGCTCCATCTCATCCCTCTGAGCCCCCAGTTCCACTTTGTCTCCAGCTTCACCCTGGCTCCTCACCCCCTCAGCTTAATCTGGGACCATTGTCCTTCTGGCTCCTCCAGGCTACCTTGTCCCACTGGCTCTGCCCTGGTTAATCATGGGTCCACCATGACCAAGGACTTCTAGGCTGTCTGCTGTGTTTCATTCCTTCTCCCCTACGGCTCAGTCATGCTCCTCCTTCTCTCAGTCCTTACTCATTCCATCACTTAGCATGTTTACAGGCACAATTGTACGCTGATTAAATAATTGAAATAACCTGTTGTCCAGGTTTACATGCAAATCAAGAACCTGACAATGCAAGTAAACTGTGTTTACAAGACTTTATTAAAGTTTTTCTTAGTCGCTTTGGAGCATTTCTCAGATCAGAAATGAAGTTCTCAAAACTACTTGTTCAACCTCCACATCATCTAGT